ATATCGACTAAATATTTAGAAATATGCTGTCTGCAAGAAACAACAAAAATAATGATTAGGTTGAAAGTTAAAAAAATAGATATATCATGCAAATATTAAAGGAAAGCAGGATTGACTATATTAATAACAGATAAAGTAGACTTTAGAGCCAAGAAAATTACCAGAGGTAGAGAAGGACAGCACATAATAATAAAAGGCTTGCTCTTCCAAGAAGGTGTTGCAGACCTACATATGTCTGCAGCAAACGACAGAGCCCCAAAATGTGTGAAGCAAGAAGTGACATAACTGGAATGGAGACACAGACAAATATAACTCCACAATTACAGTTGGAGACCTCACCACTCCTCTCTCAACAATTGATAGAACAACTGGACAGAAAATCAACAAGGATATAGTAAAATTCAAAACATCAACAACACCAATAGGACTCGAGACATTTATAGAATACTCCAACTAGTAACAGCAAAATACACATTCTTTTCAACAACCCATGGAACATACAGCAAGATAGACCACATCCTGGGCTATAAAACAAACATCAATAAATTTAAAAGAATTGAAGTCAAACAGTGTGTTCTTTGACCACAGTGGAATCAAACTAGAACTCAATAACAAAGAGTTAACAGGAAAGTCTCCAAATTCCTGGACACTGAACAACACACTTCTAAACAATCCATAAGTCAGAGAGGAAGTTTCAAGGGAAATAAATACACTGAAGTAAATGAAAATAAAATGTACCAAAATTTCTGGGACACAGCTAAAGTGGTGCTGAAAAGGAAATTTATAGCACTAAAATGCATATAGTAGAATAAAGAAAAAGTCTCAGATTAATAATATAAGCTCCCTCTGCAAGAATCTAGAAAAATAAGAGCAAATTATACCCAAAATAAGCAGAACGAAGGAAATAATAAAGAGGAAAAGTGAATGAAACTAAAAACTGGAAAGTTCACATACTGATGGTTCCATTTATGTAAGATTCTTAAAGTGACAAAATTATAGAAATGGAGAACAGGTTAGTTGTTGCCAGAGATTAAAAATGAGTAGAGATCAGAGGATGGAGGTTGGAGGTAGAGATGGGAGATGAGAGGCTATAATAGGACAACAGGAGAGATCCTTGTGTTGATGGAATTATTTTTTATCTTATCTGCATTTGATGTCACTATCCTAGTTGTGGCATGTAGTGTAGCTGTTCAAGATGGGGAAAACTGGGTACACAGGATCTCTGCATTGCTTTTTTACAACTGCATGTCAATCTACAATTATTTACAATAAAAAGTTTTAGAAAAGTCTGAACTAAATAATAACAACCAACATTTATTGCTGTGTGCTGTCAATGTTCAAAGCACTTTACATGTCTTATCCTCATTTGGTCCTCACAACACCCCCCTGTATGAGGGTAGGTATTACTCTGTACTTATTTTAAGGAAACAAAGGTATAGAGAGGTTAAGTGAATTGCTCAAGATCATGTAACCAGTAAGATCCCAAACTGAGATTCAGGCTGTTTGTCTGCCTCTAGAACCTGTGCACTAGATAATCTTAAAGTGCACACAAGTATTAATAAAAGTGAAGAGTTCACTGTCAAAAGAATATGAAGTGGGGACTTTCCCTGGCAGTCCAGTGGTTAAGAATCCATGCTTCCACCGCAGAGGGCATGGGTTCCATCCCTGGTCAGGAAACTAAGATCCTGCATGCCATGTGGCATGTCCAAAAATAATTTTAAAAATATGAAGTGAAGGTATAGTTTTTAGTTGGGATGGAGTTGTCCGGGAAGGAAACAACCATTTACTAAACCTTTCCTTCATTCACCAAACATTTGGTACAGAACTTCCTTGACTCATGATGGGGTTACATACTGATAAACCCATGGTAATTTGAGAATACTGTAAGTTGAAAATACATTTAGTAAACCTAGCTTACCAAATATCATAGCCTGGCCTGGTTTACCTTAAATGTGCTCAGAACACTTACATTAGACTGTATTGGGCAAAATCATGTAATACAAAGCCTATTTTATAATAAAGTATTGGATATCTCATGTAGTTTGTTGAATATAGTACTGAAAATGATAAACAGAGTGGCTGTCTGAGTACAAATAGTTCTCAGTGTATGAGTTGTTTCCCCTCATGTCTGTGTGGCTGAGTGGGAGCTGTGGCTCACTGCCACTGCCCAGCGTCACAGAAGAGCATCATACTGCACAGGGCTAGCCCAGAAAAAAAAAAATCAAAATTCAAAGTACCATTTTTACTGAATGTTTAGTGCTTTTACACCATTGTAAAGTCGAAATTAAAAAATGTTAGAACCATTGTAATTTGGGAAATGTCTCTACCTGTTTTCAATAAGGATGACAGAGGTAGGTTTCATATCACAAACCAGTTCTGACTGATTGACAGTGATGTCTAGAAAATTATGTTAACACCAGATTCTGATGCCACATCACAGCTGGGCAAGGAGGAGTTCTATGGTTCATTATAGATATTTGCCATTTACAAGGCCGAAGGAAGGGATGGCATGAAGAATGAGTGATATGGGGACTTCCCCAGTGGTTAAGGATCCACCTTGCGATGCAGGGGACAGAGGTTTGGACCTCTGGTCGAGGAGCTAAGATCCCACATGCCGTGGAGCAACTAAGCCCTCAGCTGCAACAACCGAGCCTGCACGCCACAAGTAGAGAGTCCTTGAGCCTCAACAAAAGATCCTCCATGACACAAGGAAGATCCTGAGCGCCGCAAGTAAGACCCAAGGCAGCCGCCCCAAAAAAGAGAATGAATGATATATATGTTTGCATCTGTCACTGTTTTCAGATTTGAGCTAAGTGTTTTACATGTATTCTGTCATGTAATCCATACAAAACACTCATGTTGGGTATTATTCATTTCATAGAGAAGGAGTTTAAGAGACTTGTCCAAACGCACTCAGTACCACACTTTCTGAAGGAGAGAAGTTTTATTGAGCTCTTTTTACAGTTTTTGTTTATTGATTGACTGCACTGGGTCTTCATTGCAGCCCGTGGGCTTTCTCTAATTGTGCGGAGCAGGGGAGGCTACTCTCTAGTTGCAGCGCATGGGCTTCGCATTGTGGCGGCTACTCTTGTTGTGGAGCAGAGGCTCCAGGGACCGCCAGCTCAGAAGCTGAGGCACACAGGTCCAGCTCTGGAGTTCTCCTGGAGCAGGGATCAAACCTGTGTCCCCTGCATTGGCAGGCAGATTCTCAGCACCGGACCACCAGGAAAGTTCTGTTGAGCTCTTGAAAGAGATGATAAACCTGGGTTGGCAGAGAGGGAAGAGGGGTTTGGGCATAAGCACAGAAGAAATCAGTCAATCACACAAAAGACAGGAAACAGACTGGCCTGACTAGAATCAAGGAGCACTCTGGACAGTAATGACCGGAGATCAAGGGAGACAAAGTGCCCAACTAACTGAAAGTTTTGAAACAAAAAGCTCTTAAAGCTAATAGATTTGTTCCTCCAAGTTTGTTTTCTGAGAGTGCCTAGTGCAGCGGAATATGAAGCAGTGACGAGAGAAGCTTTCAAGACTTTGCTTCTCTTTCCCCATATTCTTCATTGGGCTGTGTCATTTTTCTTAACCTGCCCTCCTAAGAGGATTGGAGCTTGCCCTCTAGCCATAATTTTCCACTTTTTTTTATTATAGAAGATGAACATGTATATTGCAAAAATCTCTAATAAGAAGAGTGTATAAATTACAAAATATTGCCCATAACCTTTAATCAATCATTCCCCAAAGGCAACTTCTGTTAATAACTTGGCATCTATCCTTTTAAGTCCTTTGCTTGTGTTTTACATAGCATTTAAAAAATACATCTACATACAAATACCGTATCTTACGTGTATTTATATTTAATTCTAGAGACATAAATTCAGTTTAATCATTCTTCATAAACATCAAAGGCCCAAATCTTTAAGCTGGAGCCCAGGTTGTTTTAATATTTTCCTTTGCGAAAAGCTGCATTCCTCACAGGGATGTTAACATGTCAGAGAGGGCTATCAAAGCTTCCGTTGGGGCTTCCCTGGTGCCTGCCAATGCAGAAGACACAGGTTCAATCCCTGATCCAGGAAGATCCCGCATGCTGCAGGGCAGCTGAGCCCGTGCACCACAGTTGTAGAGTTTGTGCACTAGAGCCTGGGAGCTGCAACAAGCGAAGCCCAGGCACCCTGGAGCCTGTAACTGGCAGCAAGAGAAGCCGTCTCAATGAGAAGCCCTCGCCCCACAGCTAGAGAAAAGCCCACACAGCAACTAAGACTCAGCACACGCAAAAATAAATAAATTTTAAAAAATTATTTTTAAAGAAGATTTTAGTGAAAAGAACTTTTAAAAAGGTAAGTCTTCTTCTGATCACTTTGTCACTGATTACCCCACATCCACAAGATCAGTAGATCCTAGGGCAAGAACGTCAGCTTACATACACGTGGAGAAAGAAAGGAGTGTGGTCTTATGTTTGTAAGGGAGCCTCTGAATCAATACCAAGGACCTGCTCTTAGCTCATCAATTTCAGTTGATTAGGGAAAGAGAAACGAGTTATCAAAGGGGATTTCCCTGGTGGCCCTCTGGTAAATAATCCGCCTGCCAATACAGGGGACATGGATTTGATCCCCGATCTGAGAAGATTCCACATGCCAGGGGGCAGCTAAACCTGTGCACCAACAACTACTGAGCCCAGCTACTGTGGGCCTGCGTGCCACAACTGCCGAAGCCCACACACACAGACCCGTGCTCCACACTGAGAGAAGCCACTGCAACGAGAAGCCCACGCGCTGCAACTAGAGAGTAACCTCCCCTTGCCACACCTAGAGAAAGCCTGTGCAAAGCAGCAAAGACCCAGCACAGCCCCCATCCCAATTTTGTAAGTTAAAGAAAGTTATTAAAGGGGCCTAAGCTAACCTTTTTTGTTGGAACGCCTGGAGATGGCCTAATGTGGTGCCATTGCTGGTTTGATGACATTCCTCCTCACTCTGGTTTTCTTTTCCATCTGAATCCCCCCACAGCTGTCTATGGGCATGTTAGGTTTTGGCTTCATTGTCACTTACATTCCGGAGGCTGCCATCAGTGCTTATCTGGCTGCTACAGCACTGCACGTTATGCTGTCCCAGTTGACCTGCATCTTCGGAGTTATGATCAGTTACAATTCTGGTCCCGTCGCCTTCTTCTACGTGAGTAATTTCTGCCCTCACCCAGAGTAACGAATGCTCCTCCCCTTGCCTCCAAAAAGAAGTAGACCCAAGTGAAGAGACTCTTGTATAGGCGGCTGGGTCAAGAGGGTCCTAGAAGTAATTTCACCTCTTCCAGATTTACAGTTTTGATTAATTGCAGGTGCCAATTGGACCATGTTCTCAGTTGCATTAATCATTTTACTCCCAGCCTTTTAAACTAACACGATCTATGTTAAAATCTGGTCTTTTAGATAACTGTATCTATCATAATTCTCCCCATCATGTAACTCATAACAGACATGTATCCTAAAACATCTTAAGAATATAAAATGCAAAGTTGTCCCTGAATGCAAGAACGGCCCAGAAGTCAAGTGAAACATACATGGTCTGGGCAAATTAATAAAGAGTAGGCTAATAAACGAACTCCTGGGTCCTTTCCATTACACTGAAACACAGAAAGTGTATTCCCTTCTTGTTGGACATTATTGTCTTTTAATGTACCTTTTCCAAATTAAAAAATTATATATCTACCTACTTGCTCTCCCTGTTCTAGTCATGCTCATAAAGATCTCAATGCCCAGCAACCCTGCCCAGGGACTTCTGTTTGAACTAATTTAGAAAGTGTCATTTTCTAGCTTTAGGCAATTATTATATCCTTTCCTAAGCCTCTGTAATTTTGTTTTCTTTCAGAACATAATTAACTACTGTTTAGGTCTCCCTAAAGCTAATTCCACCAGCATCTTACTATTTCTAACCGCTATTGTTGCTCTGAGAATCAACAAATGTATCAGAATTTCCTTCAACCAGTACCCCATTGAGTTTCCCATGGAAGTTTTTCTGGTAGGTGTCTTTTTGCTTCTGTTTTGTTAAGTTAATTTCTGTTGGAGTATAGTTGCTTTACAGTGTTTTGTTAGCTTCTGCTACACAGCAGAGTGAATCAGTTATACACACACATATTAATCTATTCCCTCTTTTTAAGATTTCCTCCCCATTTACGTCACCACATGGCACTGAGTAGAATTCCCTGTGCAATCAAGTAGGTTCTTACTACTGGTCTGTTGTATCCATGGGAGCGTGTATAAGTCAATCCCAATATCCAAATTCATCCCACCCACTTCCCCTCTTGGCATCCCTAGGTTTGTTCTCTACAAGTGTGTCTCTATTTCTGCTTTGCAAATAAGTTCATCTGCACCATTTTTCTAGATTCCAATATAAGCGATATTATATGCTATTTGTTTTTCTCTTTCTGATTTACTTTACTCTGTATGACAGTCTGTAGATCCATCCATGTCTTTGCAAAGGGCACTATTTTGCTCCTTTTTATGGCTGGGTAATATTCCACTGTATATATTGTTGTTCAGTCACTAAGTCATGTCCAATCTTTACGACCCCATGGACTACAGCACACCAGGCTTCCCTGTCCTTCACCATTTCCCAGAGCTTGCTCAAACTCTTGTCCATTGAATCGGTGATTCCATCCAACCATCTTGTCCTCTGTCAATCCCTTCTCCTCCTGCCTTCAATCTTTCCCAGCATCAGGGTCTTTTCTAATGACTCAACTCTTTGAATCAGGTGACCAAAGTATTGGAACTTCAGCTTCAGCATCAATACTTCCAATGAATTTTCAGAATTGATTTCCTTTAGAATTGACTGGTTTGACCTCTTTGCAGTCCAAGGGACTCTTAACAGTCTTCTCCAACACCACAGTTCAATATCATAAGTTCTTCGGTGCTCAGCTTTCTATACGGTCCAATTCTCATATCCATACATGACTACTGGAAAAACCATAGCTTTGACTGTACAGACCTCTGTTGGCAAAGTGATGTCTCTCCTTTTTAATATGCTCTCTAAGTTTGTCATTGCTTTTCTTCCAAGGAGCAAGTGTCTTTTAATTTCATGGCTGCAGTCACCATCTGCAGTGATTTTAGAGCCCAAGAAAATAGAGTCTGTCACTGTTTCCATTGTTTCCCCATCTATTTGCCATGAAGTGATGGGACCGGATGCCATGATCTTAGTTTTTGAATGTTGAGTTTTAAGCCAGCTTTTTCACTCTCCTTTTCCACCTTCATCAAGAGGCTCTTTAGCTCCTCTTCACTTTCTGCCATAAGGGTGGTGTCATATGCATATCTGAGATTATTGATATTTCTCCTGGCAATCTTGATTCCAGCTTGTGCTTCCTCCAGCCCAGCATTTCTCATGATGTACTCTGCATATAAAGTTAAATAAGCAGGATGACAGTATACAGCCTTGATGTATTCCTTTCCCAATTTTGAACCAGTCTGTTGTTCCATGTCTGGTTCTAACTGTCATCTTCTTGACCTGCATACAGGTTTCTCAGGAGGCAGGTGAGGTGGTCCAGTATTCCCATCTCTTAAAGAGTTTTCCACAGTTTGTTGTGATCCACAGAGTCCAAAGCTTTAGTGTAGTCAATGAGCAGAAGTAGATGTTTTTCTAGAATTCTCTTGCTTTTTCTATGATCCAGCAGATGTTGGCAATTTTATCTCTTGTTCCTCTGTCTTTTCTAAATCCAGCTTGCGCATCTGGAAGTTCTCGGTTCATGTACTTTTGAAGCCTGGCTTGGAGAATTTTGAGCATTACTTTGCTAGCGTGTGAAATGAGCACAGTTTTATGGTAGTTTGAACATTCTTTGGCACTGCCTTTCTTTGAGATTGGAATGAAAACTAACCTTTTCCAGTCCTGTGGCCACTGCTGAGTTTTCCAAATTTGCTGGCATATTGAGTGCAACACTTTCACAGCATCATTTTTTAGGATTTGAAATAGCTCAGCTGGAACTCTATCACCGCCACTAGCTTTTTTGTAGTGATGCTTCCTAAGGCCCACTTGACTTTGCACTCCAGGATATCTGGCTCTAGGTGAGTGATCACACCATCGTGGTTATCTGGTTCATTAAGATCTCTTTTGTACAATGTATGACAAAACCCACTACAATATTGTAAAGTAATTAGCCTCCAATTAATAAAAATAAATGAAAAAAAAAAAAAGATCTCTTTTGTATAGTTCTTCTGTGTATTCTTGCCACCTCTTCATATCTTCTGCTTCTTTTAGGTCCATACCATTTCTGTCCTTTTTTGTGCCCATCTTTGCATGAAGTGGCCCCTTTGTGTCTCATTTTCTTGAAGAGATCTCTAGTCTTTCCCATTCTGTTGTTTTCCTCTATTTCTTTGCATTGATCACTGAGGAAGGCTTTCTTATCTCTCCTTGCAGAATATTCTTTGAGACTTTGCATTCAGATGAGTATATCTTACATGTATCACATTTTCTTTATCTATTCCTTTGTTGATGGACATTTAGGATACTTCTGTGTCCTGGCTATTGTAAGTAGTGCTGCAGTGAATATTGGAATGCAAGTGTCTTTTTGAATTATAGTTTTCTCTGGGTATCTGCCCAGAAATGGGGTTTCTGGGTCATATGCTACCCAATAGAATGGCAGTTCTAGTTTTAGGTTTTTGTGGAACCTCCATACTGTTCTCCATAGTGGTTGTACCAGTTTACGTTCCCATCAGCAGTATAGGAGGGTTCCCTTTCTCCACATTCTCTCCAGCATTTACTGTTTGTAGATTTTTTGATGATGTCCATTTTGACCAGATGAGGTGATACTTCATTGTAGTTTTGACTTGCATTTCTCTAATAATTAGTCGTGTTCAGCATCTTTTCATGTGCCTTTTGACCATCTGTATGTGTTTGGAAAAGTGTCCATTTAGGTTTCCCTCCCATTTTTTCATTGGGTTATTTGTTTTTTTTTTATACTGAGCTCCATTAGTTGTTTGTTTATTTTGGAGATTAATCTCTTGTCAGTTGCTTCATTTGCAAATATTTTCTCCCAGGCTGTTGTCTTTTTGTTTTGTTTATGGTTTCCTTTGTTGTGCAAAAGCTTTTAAGTTTAATTAAGTCTCATTTATTTCTCTTTTTTATTTTCATTACTCTAGGATGTGAGTCAAGAAAGATCTTGCTGCAATTTGTGTCAAAAAGTGTTCTGCCTATGCTTTTCCTCTAAGAGTTTTATAGTGTCTAGCCTTACACTATAGTGTACAGCCTTATAGGTCTTTAATTCATTTTGAGTTTATTTTTGTGTATGGTGTTAGGGAGTGTTCTCTCTAACATTCTTTTACATGTAGCTCTCCAGTTTTCCCAGCACCACTTAGTAAAGAGGCTGTCTCTTGGGGGAGAATGAATACACGTGTAAGTATGGCTAAGTCCCGTTGCTGTCCACCTGAAACTATAAAATAACAAGTCTTTAAAAAGAAGCTGTCTTTTCTCCATTGTATATTCTTGCTTCCTTTGTCATAGATTAGGTAACCATAGATACTTGGGTTTACCTCTGGGCTTTCTATCCTGTTACATGTATCTGTGTTTCTGTCTTTATGCCAGTACCACCCTCTCTTGACTACTGTGGCTTTGGAGTACAGTCTGAAGTCAGGGAGTCTGATTCCTCCACCTCCACTTTTCTTTCTCAAAATTGCTTTGACTAGTTGTAGTCTTTTATGTTTCCATACGAATTGATAGGGATTGCATTGAATCTGTAGATTGCTTCAGTTGTCTAGTCATTTTCACAATATTGATTCTTCCAATCCAAGAATAGGGTATGTCTCTCTATTTGTGTTGTCTTTGATTTCTTGCATCAGTACCCTATAGTTTTCTGAATACAAGTCTTTTGTCTCCTTAGGTAGATTTATTCCTAGGTATTTTATTCTTTTGTTGCAGTGATAAGTAGGATTGTTTTCTTAATTTCTTTTTCCGATCTTTCCTTGTTAGTGTATAGGAATACAACAGATTTCTGTGTATTAATTTTGTATCCTACAAAATTTACCAAATTCATTGATAAACTCTAGTAGTTTTCTGGTGGCCTCTTCAGGATTTTATATGTATAGTATTATGTCATCTGCAAAACATTGACAGATTTATTTCTTTTCCAATATGGATTCCTTTTATTTCTTTTTCTTCTCTGATTGCCATGACTAGGACTTCCAAAACTATGTTGAGTTATTACTTAGTGATAGTGATGAGAGTGGACATCCTTTTCTTGTTCCTAATGTTAGAGGAAATGCTTTCAGTTTTTCACCACAGAGAACAGTTATTTCCTGTGGGTTGTCATATATGGTTTTGATTATACTGAAGTAGGTTCCCTCTATATCCACTTTCTGGACAGTTTTTATCATAAATCAGTGTTGAATTTTGTCAAAAGCTTTTTATGAATCTATTGAGTTGATCATACGGTTTTTATTGTTCAATATGTTAATATGGTGTATCATATTGATTGATTTGCAGATATTGAAGAATCCTTGAATCCCTTGGATAAATCCCACTTGATCATGGTGTATGGTCATTCAATATTTTGTGGGATTCTGTTTGCTAGTATTTTGTTGAGGATTTTTGCATCTATGTTCATGACTGATTTGTTGTTGTTCAGTCGCTCAGTCATGTCCAACTCTTTGCGACCCCATGGACCGCAGCACACCAGGCTTCCTTGTCCTTCACCATCTCCCAGAGCTTGCTCAAACTCATGTCCATTGAATCAGTGATGCCATCCAGCCATCTTGTCCTCTGTCATTCCCTTCTCCTCCTGCCTTCAATCTTTCCCAGCACCAGGGTCTTTTCAAATGATTCAACTCTTCCTCTGAATCAGTTGGCCAAAGTATTGGAACTTCAGCTTCAGCATCAGTCCTTCCAATGACTATTCACGGTTGATTTCCTTTAGGACTGACTGGTTTGATCTCCTTGCAGTCCTAGGGACTCTCAAGAGTCTTCTCCAACACCACAGTTCAAAATCATCAATTCTTTGGTGCTCAGTCTTCTGTATGGTCCAACTCTCACATCCATAC